CATTGCTGGTGGGACTGAAAAATGATACAACCATGGTGGAAAACAGTATGGCGCTTCCTCAAAAAGGTGGACATAGGAATACTGTATGACCCAACTATTTACAACAGTATAAAGATGGAGACAGTCTAAATGACAGAATGGATAAACAAACTTTGGTACATACACATAGTGGAATACTATGCAACATTGAAGAATAATGATGAATTTGTGAAACACCTCATTACATGGGGGAACCTGAAGGAAATTATGCTGAGTGAAATTAGTCAATCATAAATTGACAAATATTGTATGAGATTCAAGAAATATTATAAAAACTCAAGATAAAGTGTTCATTCTAAAAGAAACATTTTTTGATGGTTACCAAGGTTGGGAAGGAAGAGAGTAATTCATTGGCTAGAGGTAGACATATATTAACTCAGGTGATGGGGAGTACATATATACAAGAAGAGGGAGGTTGGCAGAAGAATAATGGAGATAGGTGAAGGTACAGGGAGGTATATGACGGCTAAAGGGGATACAGGTAAATAGTGTTATATACACAATTCTGGAACAACAATATTCTGCAGATAGATACATGGACACAGACTGAAAGAGTAGGGGAGGAAGAGTAGGAATATACCCATAAATATATGAGTTTCAAAGAGGATATTTGTACATGGGCATTTACCTATGAATGTGGTGGAGCATACAGTGCAAACTTCTTAGATATTATCAACCATCTTAAGGCAATGAGTTGCCGGGCCTGGGGGCTCATGAACATACTTGCAGGGGACAACATGTTCAACTGGCATAAAATAGTCCACTAAGACAATGTTCTACATCCTACTCTGGTGAGCAGCCTCTGGGTTCTTAAAGCTCATGAGCAGCTACTTAATGTCAACTATTGGTCTCTCCATGTGTGGAAGAAAGAAGAGTGATGAAAATGGAAGTTGCTTAGAATCAATGAGTCAGTGAACTAATGGAACCTGTGAACATCAGGCTGGTCTCCATGACTCTGAGACCAGAAGGACTACATGGTACCTGTCTACTACTACCAACTGCTCTGAAAGGGAACACATTAGAAGGTCCCAGATGGAGCAGGAGAAAATGTTAAACAAAACTCAAAATTGTGAGAACACAGAAGAGACTGCACTTACCAGTCAAAAAGAGACTGGAGGAACCTGAGACTATTGCCCTCAACCACCCTTCAGATCTAGAAAGGAACTCACCCTCGTGGCCCAATTTTCAGTCTCATGGTAGAAAAGTGTATAGTGCGGACACCATGAAATGGTCAAGGATTCAAAATCAAAAGGGCAACATTTACGAAATCACAAAATTGAGAAAGGATGGGAAGCAGGATGGAATGGAAATAGGAATCACAGGAAGGAAGTGGAATAGCTGTTGTTACACGGAGGGGACTACAATCACTGAGATGAAACAAAATATAAGATTTGTTGAATGTAAAACTGATGGTCTTGTCTGCAAACCTTCACTGAATTCACAATAAAAAGTTAAAAAAAAGAGAGAGAGAGAAAATAATCGATCTTAGAGGTGGTTCTATATCAAAGGTCCTCCTCTTCCTCCTTTCTAAAGGCAGTCTTCCATTGAGGTGCATATCATAATCGACTTCACCTGTGGCCTCTGGATGCAGGTGAAGGGTACTGGTCCCTTTCTGAATCAAGGTCAGGTGGGCATCACCAACCTTCCAGTGCATCTCTGGTCCTCTTTTATTCTTCAAAGTTCTTGACAACTGTTGCACATCTTCAGTTGTAGATACCCTCTGCTCCCTAAGATACAGTTTTCGAAATCTGTAGACCCAACATGTCTTGAAGAAGCAGAGAGCTCTCCCTGGTACCAGTCCACTCATCTTGGAAGTTTTTACCCCACTCAGTATTGTCCCATTCTGTCTTGTTTAAAGATCTCCAATATGGAGAACAAGAAGCTGAAGAGTGGATTCAGGTAGAGTAGCCTCCGCCCTTCCTTCCTTACCTGATGGCATCCTTAACTTCCCCAGCACTAATTAGTTCTGCTTTTTTTGAGGTCCCAAAGGGTGGGAAGAGCTACCCTGGGCAAGAGCTACACAGAGGTGAGACGACTGCTCATTGAACATGGGAATGGTGGCGTCAAAAGAAGGGACAGTCCAGGAAAAGTTGGGAGAGAAGATTCTTAGAGACATTTGGGTTGAAGTGGAGCCTTCTCTAGCTTTGCCCTTCCCCAGAAAAGCTTGTCTGTGACTAGAATGGAAACAGGTTAGAAGCAGGAACTGGGCAGGGGTCACCTCAGGGTCACCTCAGGGCCGGAGTCCAGAAAAGAGCCTCTAAGGATAGCTTTATTGCAAGGAAACACTTTCCAGAAAAACAATACATACTAAGTGTAATTGGAAGGACTATGCTCAAGACAGAGATCTTCCCATCTTCCACTGCCCTTTGAACCACTACCGTGCTTCCTCTTCAGGAGCTTCTGGGACTTGTCTGAGGAGCATCGTAGCTACTTAGAGTTCTAGAGTTCTTAAGACTGTGACCTTTGAAAACAGATCACCAGATCTGTCTTCAGAGTCACCTCTTGATGGATTTGAACAGCCAATTAGCAGCTAATAGTTAAATGCCTAACTATTTGTGCGATCCAGGAAACTGTGAGAAATACTAAGGACCCAAAGAATACCAGTCAAACACCCCTGACTTTCCTGGTGTAAAAAGAGGAGCAGACATGGTCAGGTTGTGGAGAGTGATGCAAGTCCTCCGATGGACCACATTATCAACATACTACCCTTTGGAGTCCTGGTATGGCACTGTGGGATCAAGCACTGGACCACAAGGTCGGTTTGTTCATGCAAGGTCAGTGGTTCAAAGTCACCAGCTACTCCTTAGAAACCCTATATAGGGTCACTATGAGTTGGAACTGACTTGACAGCACTTAACAACAACAACCCTTTGCCCCAGGAGCGCTGGTAGAGCAATGAGTAAGCATGGAGTTGTTAACAAAAATGTTGGCAGTTTGAACACACCAGCCACTCCACAGGAGAAAAAGTAATGGAATTTTTCCATGAACGGGACTTCAAAGTTCATGGAAAGATTCCATTATCTTTTAATTCCATTTTTCACAAACTGTCTGAAGCCCCCATATATGACAGAGTAGAATTTTCCCATTAGGAAATCTTTCTGGAAGCAGATGATCCCCTGTCTTTTCTCCTGTGAAGTTGCTGGTGTGTTCAAAGTGCTAACATTTTCATTGTCTAGGGCTGCTATGAGTCAGGATCTGCTCAACATCACACAACAACAGAAATAACCCTTTGGCCTGCATTTCTATGACTAGGAATTTTTCCTATGAATTTATTCGCACATGTTGTATAAACTTTTGACATAAATGTTTAGTGTAGCATTATTTGTAAAACCAAACACCACAAATAACTTAAGTGTTCATAATAAGGGGTTGGAAAAATGAATAATGGTTTGTCCACAGGAAAGAATGCTCTGCAGCCATTTTAAAAAAACACCAAATGAGGCCAATTTCTACGTGTTTCCATGATGAAGAAAAAGATGCACAGAGCAATGTGAATGCTGCACTGTGAATGAGATAAATGATGAAGTGTGAAGTGAAAGTGTTAAAGGACATGTTGTTGTTGTTATTGTTAAGTGCCACCAACTCGGTTCAGACTCATAGTGACCCTATATAGAGTTTCTGGGGCTTTAAATCTTTATGGGAGCAGAAAGCCTCATCTTTCTTTCACAGAGAGGAATGGTGGACTCGAACCACCGACCTTGTGGTTTGTAGTCCAGTGCTTATCCCATGGAGCCCTGTTAAGGGATATATATATATATATGCAGATATATGCATAAAAATTCTTCTAGGAGACTAGATGAGAAGCTAACTTGAAAAGTAGCTACCTTCAGGGAGAAGGCATGGGAAGAGGGGAGGAGACATTGACTTTTCATTGAGAACTTTCTATAAAATTAGCATTTTCTAGCTATGCTTAAACACGATTTTTAAAACTTTTGTGGGGTTTTTGTATTTTAGTTATTACTTTTTAATATCAGGCAAATAAATACATTATATATGTGGCACCATAGGGTAAGTACTCGACTTCAAGTTTGGTTTGAACTACAAGGTGGGTGGTTCAAAGTCACCAGCAGCTTCCCAGTAACCGTATACAGGGTTGCTATGAGTTGGAAACAACTCAACCACACTTAACAACAATAGCAACATTTATAATATAGAATATTATTTTAATGATATTAGTAATATTCTTCTACCAAGAGGCAGTCATTTGAACAGCATAAGGAGATACTTCAAGCTTTAAAATCAGGAAAAATGTACATCAGGGTTGTATCCTTTCACCATACTTATTCAATCTGTATGCTGAGCAAACAATTTGAGGAGCTAGATTTTATGAAAAACTCAGCATACGGATTGAAGGAAGACTCATTTACAATCTGTGATATGCAGATGATGCAACCTTGCTTGCTGAAAGCAAGGAGGATCTAGAGCACTTACTGATGAAGTTTAAAGACTATAACCTCAACATAATATATATATATAATATATATATATTATACCTCAACATAAAGAAAAGTCCTCACAACTGGGCCAAAAGCAATATCACGAGAAACAGAGGAAAGACCAAAGTTGTCAAGGGTTTCATTTTACTTGGATCCTCAATCAACATTCTTGGAAGAAGCAGTCATGAAATCAAACCACATACTGCATTGGGCAAAACTGCTGCAAAAGATCTGTTTAAAGTGTTAAAAAGCTCTATCAGCTCTGTGAGTCTATGATGTAGCTGTTCCTTGGATCACAGGGAACAAATAGTAGATAGAAACCTGATGTTTCAGTCAATTCCAGGTGGAGTTGGACTTGGAATCAGAATCACTGGGTCCAAGGGCTTTCTGTGCCCTGTCCAAGCCCATCTCCCCAGTCTAGTGGCTCTGAACAGGGACCACACTCAGTGGTCAGGTGAGTTTATACCTGGTTCAGAAGTAGGGAAAAAGGAAAGGACTTAGAGTTCAGGGGTTCCCTCTACTTACCACAGAATCTCATTTCTGGTCAGGAAGGTTAGGGCCTGTAACAAACCACAAAGAAGTGACCATCCTGTTTAATCCAGCTCTACACTCAGTTCCAAACCTAACTCCTTTGGGAAGTGGAGGGCTTTGGGAGCAAGAAAGGGAAAGCCCAATCTCTCATCCTACTGCCAGGGAAATGCATCCTACCTAGGCATCCTGCCATAGGTAGCGGGTGCCTGAGGTGGCAGCAAAAGAGGAAGTGGATCTCTTATCTCTCCCTCAGTCTCTGACAACCTTGAGAAGGAGGTGTTACAGGTCTGGTGAGTGGATCAGAGAGAAAATGAAAACCCTGGGCTCTGGAGCAAGAGATAGGTGGTGGAAAGCAGTCTCAGAGGTCTGGCCTGGGCCACAGGGATGCAAGTTTAACAAAGGGCCATCACTATTCTACCTGGTAACCTCCAGAGCTTCAGATAAGCAATCTCCCATTTACCACCTGCCTCAGGGAGTGCCCAGCTCTGCTCACAATCTCCTGCTTGATCCACCCACCTGGTACTCCTCCAGGTCCTCCCAGTGCATCTGGTACCTCAAACATTGCCCCATAGCAACCCCACCCTTCTCTCTCCCAGCAGTAGAACCTGAGCCCCAAAGGGCTCACCAGCTGGTGCAACCAGTTGGACTAGTTGCCATGGTAACTTGCATTCCACCTTCTACCCATTCTACCTAAACTCCTGAGTGGGTCAAGAAACAGGTTCTTTGGGTTCCTCAGGCCAACAAACATCACCCAAAACAATAACCAGAAAGGCAGCCCAATAGTGGGGTTGAATGTGTGGGCTCTGGAGTCAGAGTGCCTGAGGATGAATCCCAACTCTAGCCATGTGATAATAATCATGGGAGAATTATTTTATGTAATCAAGATAACAGTGTTTGGCACATAGTAAGTGCTCAACAAACATAAGCAATTAGAACCATGTCCTGAGTACAGTGCCAGGCATGGAGACAGAGATGAACAAGTATAGAGCCAGCCTCAAGAAATGGGCCTAGAAAAACAGAGAACAGAGCATTCTACCTCATCTGTCAAGGTGCCAACAGGCATACTCAAAGTAGGATAATTTCAAGAGGGTCCTGTGACACCTTAGATTAAGTGTTGGGCTGTGATTCAAACCTACCAGCCATTCTATGGAAGAAAGATATAACTGTATGCTCCTGTAAAGATTTACAGTATCAGAAACCCTGTGGAGCAATTTCATACTGTCATGTGGGATTGTTAAGAATCAGAATTGATTCAACAGCAGTAGGTTTGGGTTTAGGTTCACAGAGTAAAGTGAGGAACCATCCAGGAGAGTGAATAACCTGGAGCTAAGAACAACAGAGCTGTTACAGCCCTGGCCAGACAGGACATGAAATAAATGAGTGTCACTGTGCTCTTTCTTCAGTATCCTGCTGGGGCAGAGGGTGCAGGATGAATCTGAAAAGCAAAGAGAATACCTCTCCCCTCCACCCACTCCACTTTAGAAGAGGAAAGACTACTGGGCAGGAAGCCTTCATTTAGGTGGTAGCATTTAAATGGTTAAGAACATGGACTTGGAACTTCAATACTACAGATCCGGAGGGTCTTCCAGAAACCATGTTTCCCCTGCTCTGGAAGAGGTGGCTCGTCTGCCTGTCCACCCTCACTGTGCACGTGGCAGCTTCCTTGGCCTAGCTCATGCACTTCTTAAGAAACATCCCAGGGGCTTTCTGATGGACCTCATTTATATCTCTGAAAAAGCAACTGCCCACTTTTGGCAACTTGGCCTGTTCTCCACGGTGATGAAGTCTGACAAAAGACAACTGGGAGCCCTTATTCATTGCTTCATTTATGTGACAGAAGTTTACTAGCTACAAAGTGCCAGACACTTGGCTTGACCGTAGGGTGATCTCAGGAAAGGCCGAATGTGGCCTCAACTCTCAAGAAATGGACACTTTTCACGATCACTAGCCATTAGAGAGATGCAAATCAAAACAACATTGAGATATCAACTCACACCAGCAGTAACAGCAAAGATCAAAAAAGTAGAGGACAATAAATGCTGGAGAGGATGTGGAGGTGACTGGGACCTTCCTACACTGTTGGTGGGATTGCAAAATGGTCCAACCACTCTGGAAAGCAGTATGGCGCTTCCTTAGAAGGTTGGAAATAGAAATACCTTGTGATCCAGCAATTCCTCTACACAATTCCTCTACACAAGAAATACGAGCCACAACTCGAGTAGATATATGCACACCATTGTTCATAACATCACTATTTACAATAGCAAAAAGATGAAGACAGCCTAAATGCCCATCAATTGAAGAATGGATAAACAAACTGTGGTATATACACACAATGGAATACTATGCTACCTTGAAAAACAACAAGGAAGCTTCAAGCCACCACATAACATGGATGAACCTTGAGGGCATTATGCTGAGTGAAGTTAGTCAGTCACAAAAGGAGAAATACTGCATAGGACCATTATTGTAAAAGAATAAGAAAAAGAACCTACCAAAAAGGAGAAAAAACAACAACACTATATATATAATTGCTGATCACCAGGATGCATGGGATGAGAGGAGGGGAGGGAGAGAGGGGAAGATAGAGCACAGGGTAGGGAATAGACACAGGAAAGTTTGGGTGCTGGGGGGTGGGGGGGCAATACACAAGAAGACGGAGGGGAATAGAAGAACAAGGCAGATGGGAGAACAGTTAGGCAGGTTTGCATGGGCTAAGTGGGACAGAGGTAAATGATGATGTATGCACAACCTTGGAACAAACTGGCTTTGGGATACAGGGATTGAGGCATAGTTTGAAATGGTAAAACAGGGGAATAATGTTAAGACGCTTGGCTGTCTTTTGAATCTTGGTTTTCCTTACCTACCATTGTGAAATAGACACTAGGGGGAGAGGGGGAAGGAATAACCAGAAACATCACAATAGAAAACATGTAAGCCCGTCTTCAGCCTATAACTGATTGGAATACCTTAAAGGGGGCTATAAATTGCCCAGTGAAAAGAGACCTCCTGTGGAGCTTGTGAACCGCATAAGATCATAGGTGGAAACCAGAATCCCATCCAGAATTGTCTGAGGTGGGAAATTTCCACTGGAAAGAATGAGTAGACCAGCCTGGAGTGGCTAGAAGAACAGAAGATACTTCATGAAGAAAGACCAGCAGGAAAAATCAGAAACAATAATGGCAGTATGGTTGATTACTACAAGAACAAGTAAGCTGTTCTCCCGGGAGCCATCAAGGCAAGTGCTCGGGTCCAAACTCCCTTCCAAGACTAAGACTCAATGGGAATACATGAGCAGTCATGTGGTCTGGCTGGTGACCACGTTGGTCACCGATAAGATGAAGAGGGGGAAAAAACAACAATGAAGTTGGGATCTAAGTCTGACCACATTTAATAGACCCCTGTGAACCCAGGTAGAAACCTGGATGGCCAGCAGTATGGCAGGACCCGGGGACTCCTGGGCCCAGAGGCAGTGACATGGCCACAGAGGACTAGAGCAGAGAGTGACGCGTCCAGCTGATATGAAGTGAGGGAGATGCACAAGAACACCCATACTTGCAGATAGTACCCACTTGACCTGGTTTTGATGGCTGGATGATCAGAACTCGACTAGAAGAAGAAAGAAGAGGGAAGAAAAAAAAGAGTACACTACAATTTGATGAACTTTACCTATACGTATGGATGTTGTTGTTGTTATGTGCCGTGGATTCAGTTCCGACTCATAGCAACCCTGTACAGGGTTTCTGAGGCTATAAAACTTTACGGGAGCAGAAAGTCTCATCTTTCTCCTGTGGAACAGCTGGTAGTTTCGAACTGTTGACACTGAGGTTAGCAGCCTGATTCATTACCACTATGCTACTAGGGCTCCTTACATATGGATGTAGTAGCTCAAAAAAGGGAACAAATCTTTACAGCAAGGATCACTCCCACCCCCTCGGTACACAGGGTTGACAGGGATGGGCAAATTAGGCATTGGCTACCCCAAATGGGGGGGGGGGGCTCTAAAGGCAAGAAGTGACTTGCTTACAAGCTTTCAAGAGGGACCCTGGTTCCAGAAGGGGCACAGGTAGGTAGAACCTCCACTGAATGATTTGCAATCTGTTGGGACTGAGCTGGCGAAAGGAAATGGGGATAAGACTCTTGTGGTACAGTAGTGAATAATTGCCATCAGGACTGACTGCGAGGATCGGAAATGTAGAGGTAGACGTTTTTTGACAAAAGGAGGAGAGTGACTGATTTTGCAGCCCAGGAGTGGCGGTTTCTGGGACCATGAAGTGAGAAGAGCAGAGAGTGTGCCCCTACCCAGAGAGGCAATGATGCCAGGGATGGAGACAGAGACAATGACGTGGACAGATGGAGTGGCTGGGGACATGGGACTCAGGGAAGGAGAGGGCCTGTGTGCTGACAGCTGGGGGTGGGGGGTGGACCTGTGGGGTATATCCTTTGGTTATTTGATGATGCATGGAGGGGACTGTAATCATTGCAATGAAACAAAATATGATAGGATGAATGTAAAACTGATATTCTCCCATGTAAATCCACATAATTCACAAAAAAAACTCAAAAAAAAAAAAAAAAAAAAAAAAAAAAAAAAAGAAAAGAAATGGACACTTACCACACATGCTCCCTTCCAGAGGGAGATTTAGACAGATGTCACCAGA